CTCTCTCTCTCTCTCTCTCTCTCTCTCTCTCTCTCTCTCTCTCTCTCTCTCTCTCTCTCTCTATCTATCTATCTATCTATCTATCTATCTATCTTCAGTCATTGTGGTCGTTGCATGTCAAGAGTACTGGAAGACTCAACGATTGACATTTGCGAAAGAGCATAGAGCATCGTGCAGCAGGAGAAAAGGACGGGGAGAAACCGCGAAAACCGACGACATGAGCCAAAACTTTCGATTTTTTCCCCCAACACAGAATGTAACGTTCTACGAAAGGTGAACAAGTTTTCAACACGTTTCAACAATTTTCAACATGTTTCAACTAGTTTTCAACACGTTTCAACACGTTTCAACACGTTCTCAACACGTTTCAACAAGTTCTCCACAAGTCTTCAACAAGTTCTCCACAAGTCTTCAACAAGTTGTCAACAAATGGTCAACAGATGGACCAACATCCTTTCAACAAATGGACCAACAAATGAACACACTAGTTTCTGTTTTCCGAATGTTTGGTCAGCGTTGATTTTCTTCACTTCTGGTGGAACACATGACCCCCCCCTGCCAAACAGTTTATAAACACACTTCCAACGGTTGAAATATGGTATCCACATGTGATCATTCTGTCAGAAAATTTGTCATAATTTTTCTGTTGAAATAATCTCACTACATCTTTTCTATTTGATACTGCGCGTACAGTCAATCCTCTTGTGGCACTACTAAGGACGTTCTTATTTTACGTATCGGTATTACGTCTACTCCTATGAACATATAATGCGTCTCCTCCACACCTCCTCGGCGTAGTAAGCTCACAGACCACTTGCAGTAACACAAGGCGTTATAACATATTGCATAATGTATTGGACATGAAGGCTTTAAATTGCTAGTACCTCTTAGAAAATAAATATTTTTTATGCGTTATACAATAAAACGATAATGAAATGGTAACAAGGATAACATATATGCATGTTATGCTACATACACATAATTCAACGCAAAAAAAAAAAAAAAACAGAAATTACTGAGCACTCCAGTTCTCTCCCGTTTCATATGCCAATAGAAAGTCGATAAATTACAACATACATGTGTGTTTCTTATGTCTTTCAATGTAAAAAAAAACTCTGAATGTTGAGGTTTTTGTTGCTCTCTCTCTCTCTCTCTCTCTCTCTCTCTCTCTCTCTCTCTCTCTCTCTCTCTCTCTCTCTCTCTCTCTCTCTCTCTCTCTCTTTTGCACACACACACCCGCATACACTCACACAGACACACATACACACACACACAGATACACACTGTCACATACCCATGATGGTCGTCGAAGAGGTGGTCATGCTATCTGTCTAATTATGGTTCGAGTAACACACATGTGCTACCACCTCTTCGATAGACTCTCTCTCTTTCTCTCTCTCTCTCTCTCTCTCTCTCTCTCTCTCTCTCTCTCTCTCTCTCTCTCTCTGCACCAGTGTGCGTTTGACTCTAGAGTCTTCACATCAGCCACCACATTTGATTTTTTTTTTTCTCTATTCGGTTCACTCTGAACAAATGTCACAGTTGTACATATGACTTGAGCGGCAAGAGAGATATCATCATCACGAGTATCGTGTTCTTGCAAATGAATGGTGTTTTTCCCTGCTTGTGCGTCATCGCCACCAGACTTGTTATGCATATCATCGAGATCGACATTAAGAACATCGTTGGTGTCAAATATACTTAGAAACTTGTGATCATCTTTCATTCTCATTACTTCATTTTTTTCCTTACGTCCCAAAAAGTCTTGTCTTTCCGAAATTCTTATCGAGATCTCTACAACTCGCTTCTCTCTGTCTAAAGGAATCACACTGACAGAAACCTTGTCGACTCTCGTCTTGTGTGTCGTGATGATGGTCTCTTCGATCCGCCTCATCTCTTGTGTAGTTTGAGCAGTTCGTGCAGGACGACTCTTGTTGTGCATGTGGCAGTCGAGCACCATGTGAGCAAAAGTCAGTTGTTGAAGTATGCAACCTCTTCGCTTCAGTTCCTTGTAGTCTTTGTACAGTACCTCGTCAATTACCCTCTTGAATTTTTCTGAACCCCATGACTCACTACCTTCCACTCTCCAAGAAGATACTTCCATCATTTTCTTCCTCATCTCGTCCCGTTTCATTTTTAGGTGGTCTACTGAACTGCCACAGGGATACGGAAGTCTCATACCACTCCCAAACCCTCGAACAATGTCATAAGCAATCTCGCCTCTGACGTTCGTCAGCTCCCTCGAACCCATACCAGTAATTGTCGTCATTCCTTTCGATTTAACCACCCGATCAACTACGCGTCGAACATCCGCACGAAGCGTCCCAACGAATTCTAAGAATGCATCAACGAAAGCAGATGGCGACAGGTACATTTCCGCGTCTCCTGCACGTGTGAAACAAAAAGTCTTCGTCATACAGCGACGCAATCGTTTTATCATCTTCATATCGGAATCAATGTCTTGCACATCTTCGCCTTCAAACTCCTCACTATCACTCGTTGCCTTCAAGCCACGTGTTTGTTGTTCACGTTGTACTGCACAACATATAAATACAAAATATAACTCAGTGTTAATACTACTTTTCACATACTAAGTCTTTTTCAATTTTAATGTTGCAATATATATATATATATATATATATATATGACACAACAATTTAAAGAACAAGGCCGACCGTTATTTCTATTTTTCATGCACAATAGAAATCATCGAATAATGTCTATTACCTATTTGTTGTCATTCTCCGCTTTTGCTTTTTAATGTGTGTTGACGTTTGAAAACAAAGTGATCATCTTCTTTTCCATATTCGTTAAACTCTTCTTCCCTTTCGTCTCTACCTCCATCAGATTCGTCGTCAAATTCTTCGTCCTCGCATTCTTCATACTCCTCCTCATTTTCGACATCATTACGTTGCTTTGATAATGTTTGTTGAATACTTTCAGTTCCATCTCGAAGTTCATTATATATATCATCCTTGCGTTTTTCCCGCCAGTCTCTTTCGTTGTTTTTCTGTGAACCATCTACTTCCATTGCACCACCTTCGTTGTCGCCTCGCCTATTCGACCTGCATGCCATGTCTCGATACTCCGCATCCTGTGTCTCATTTCTCGCACCTCTTGAACGTTTTGCAGGAGCAAGAAAGACATTACAACCTGACTCATCTTCTCAGGAAATCTTCCTTATAGAGGTTCGTAGTGGAGACTCTTCTTTTTCGTCTGCAAATGTAGTTTTCATGATGTGTTCTTTTTGACGGCAATCAAATCTACGCTTGCTTGCTTCGCCATGCATTTCAATCATATTTCTCTGCCACAATTCGCCCTTGCCGTCTCTTGAAACTCTGCAGTCGCGTTTCCCTATTTGCATGTCTTTGACGATGTTAGTTTCACCTTCAACTCCTGATCTTTGAGCATATATCTTGTGTGGTCGTTCTTCCTCTTCCAAGCCATAACCTCGTTGATGCTGTGATATCTCAAGTCGGTCTCCACTACTTGGCCTTTGCTTGTTGCCGTGTTGTTTATCCATAGGTACCTCTCAAAAGTCTGTTGATTATATTGTTCACTATTTTCTCTCCGTCCAATTCTTTTACACTGTTTTCGTATGCATAACAGTAACATGCAGTGCAACATAAATATCACATCAGTTATTAGATATGTACATATAAATAAAACACAAAACGTTTTTTCAAGTTTGTTCTCCTTAGTTTTTACAAACCTAACCACTCACCATGTTGATTTTGATTTCGCAATTTTGCATTCATATATATTATTATTAATTTCTCCCTATTTTTGTTACAATGAGGGCAGATGTCACCTCACCTTTCTTCAGCGAGGCTTCGAGTTTAGGTCGTTCTTGTTCTCTTGCGTCGAGTTATGAGTTTCCGAAGAATTGCAACGAAGTCTTCAGTCGTATGCGATAAAGGCAGATTCGAATAAATATCTGCCAACGCCCTAATCATGACTTGGCGATGCTCCGATGGTTTACGCGTGATCAAACGTTTGCACACTTCTTCTGTTTCTTTCCTCGTTGCACAAACACTCCTGCACTCTCCAAGACTCTCAAGTATGCTCTCTTTATTTCTGCACACCATTACACCACAATCATTGTAGTTACGTTGTTGTTGGCAATAGACACTATCAATGAACTTCACACCTTCGCTGACAATTTCATTCCAAGCCCGTTTCAACCAGTGTGCAGTGATGTCAACACCTTGTACGAACATTGCTGCCATGTGCTCGTAGAACAGGTACACCACCAATGGATCAAAATCCGGTCTCCCGAAATTTGCTTTGGAGTCCATGTGGAATATTGCGCACGTATCTGAGCGAGTCAGATCTGGGTCCTTCAACAGTTCACCGATGTCAGTGAATATCAGAACAATGTAATGATTTTGAAGATAGATCGGAGCTATAACTATTTCGTTCTCCCACAATGTTGACACTCCATTCCTTCTTCTTTTACAAATGTCCTTTACGACTTCGACATCGAGATGGCGGCTGAGATCCACATCTTTGTGTGTGTTATATTTCTTGCTATACCACAACACTCATGCCACTTCCACGCTCGAAAGATTGTTGCTCCGTTTCATTACTGATTCGTATATATATTGACTGTAAAAGTCAATAATATTTGCAGTCAACCACCTCGTCGGTCCCAAACACTCAACATCCTCCATCCTGATAGTGAAAGACTCTGTGTGGGAGGGACGCCACTTGAAAGGAAAATATTATGTAACTGTACTCTCACTTAGAAGTAGTAACGTTCGATCCTCAAACTGGAGATGTTCATCCTCATCAATGTCTTGCGACCCTTTGTCCACATCAGCTGCAATGTTTGATGAAGTTTTTTCATATGCTGGTGGACATACAAGACTCGTAGTTCCCAGGTTCATTTCTCCACTTGTCTTGTTTTGCACCCTTCTTTCAATATCATTTATCATTTTTCCGTCATTTGTTGTATCGACGTTCACCATCTCTACTTCCGTTTGAAGATAATTATCATCCACCATTTTCGATACCTTCCCACTGTCATTCATATGATCTTCCACCTTCTCTGGTATATCATTCAATGTGACGCTTGATGACATCCTCATCTTCTGAGTTGTATGCTTTGGGTGATGCTCCATGTTGCACGACACTTGCCAATGGTTCTCCACAGTCATTGTATGCTCGTCATTGACCCTTGGAGCGTGTACATGTTCACAGGCTTGTTGTGAACCACCTGACCTCTTCCCGACATTTTCACACATACACGCTCCGAATGCATTTGGAATTGGTTGACGAGGTAAAAGTCCCCAAGCGTCAACTTATAAGCTCAACAGTGGACGACGATACAATTGTTTGATCTCTTCTTCTAATAACATGTCATCCTGAACATTGGATGTTGCCCTCATGTTTCTCTCCTCTATCTCTCCCACACATTTGCTCTCCTTGATATACCACAATTTAACTTTTCCTTCCCCTTGTCCGTTTTCACTGATTTGTTCTCTCTGCTCGGGTGCAAATTTTGTTTTTCTCGACTTTCACTTGTTGAATGTTCCTCCTGTCGTTGAGCTTCTTGATCAGCACTTTTGCGTCTGTATTCGGCCCCCCTCCTCCCCCTTGCATCGTGGCTTTCGTCCCTTCCTTGAGCGTTTGCCGCTGGGAACATAATTTTTCCCCACGTCCGATTTTCTTTTTATTTAGCTTAATTACGATAATACTACTTGTGCACACCTGCGCACACGCACAGAAAAGAGCAAGAGCATTGGAAAGAACAACGAAAAATAATATAACATAAATAGTCATATAATATTTATGAATCTGTTAAGAAAAAAATAACCCTCTTCTTTATTCGCACGTTCCACATCGTGCCGAAATGAGGGTCTTCTAAAATATGGAACAAGATGTACTGGTTCAATCATCGTATCAATATTGATGACGCTGCTATGCTGCACACCTCTAACTCTTTCCCAATGTACCAACTGACATGTAGTACGATTAGTTAAGTTCGTAGCACATTCTTTATACCACTGAACAAATGCACATGAATTCGTCATTGTTTGATTATCCTTACAACATTGTACAATAATGAGCATTGCTACTGATGTTAACCACACTTCATCGTTCCCTACTCTAGTACTTACATCCGATCGTACCTCCCGGCCATGAAAATCAGGTGCCGCCCCTCGCTACCTAAATATCACTTCCTCTGATGAACCCGTCGTAAGTGCATGCAAAAGCAACATGCGTTCTTGGTCGGATAATTGTGTTGCCATTCGTCTCTTCAAAGCCTTGTTCTGTAATGTATGTACACAAACACTGATGAAATTATTGTCTTTCGAACAGACAAACTAAAAAGTCAGCTGCTTTAATAGATGACGATGCAACTTCTTCCCTGATACTTTCATCACTCAAGTTGAACCATGCTAACCACAATGACACTATATCAGTTGAAGACATGATATTTTATCCTGTCCTTTCTGCCTCTAATACTGCCGACCAATTTTTGCTTTCTCTCCTACGTCTCAACCTCACCTTCGAGATGTGTTCTTCTAGAGTTGTTGCACGCATGACGTGTTCCACCATTTGTCGTGAAGGGTTTCTACGATTCGAAGCATGATAAGGATCTTTACCGAAACGAATGTGATTTATGTTCCCAAATGTCCGTCGCAAATGTATTCGGCAACCCGGAACGCAACACTACTGCTTAATACTTGTTTAGATCATGCATTTTTGTAATCTTCCAATTTGACTTCTGTAAATGGTCGAACCGTAGATTCGTAAATTCCATGAAGTCTTTGAGAAGATTATCACACCTCTGAAGCGATTGCATAGTATGTTTCGTAACACGAAATATGCTAATGAAATACTTTAAAAACATGCCAAACCATTGGACAAGGTTGCGTCCTTCCGTGTTGTCTACAAAATTATGAACTATAAACAGAATAACGGTCATGACAGCTTGATACTGTTTCGCTTCAAATCGACCTTCACGAGTGAAAAAATCAGACACTGTCGCAACAGGGAGCACAAACTTTTGAAACGTACGGCGTGCTCTAAGGCTGATTTGCTTAAGACGAGCATCAAGTTCGCCAAGCATTCTAGATCCACTTACGAACGACTTGCAGAAAGTTTTCAAGCCTTCTATCATATATTCGAATATTTCATGGTCTACCGTATGCATCCTATCCGGTTGCAGTACAAAGTGGTAATCAAACATTATATCATTGTTGAAACGACCTTGATAAACCCCCCAAAGACCATTAACAGGTATGTCGTGGTGCATTCCCCATTCTTTGGCGAGATCTAACGCTTGATCACGCATTGACACATCTAAATCTTGATGAATGTCATGCAAAACACTGCGATCCACATTCTCTGTCCGCAATAATTCGTTGCAATCAATGTGCTCGTGAAGGTTGTTTGTAGGCACTATGCACGTGGGACGCCGTCCGTTTTTCACGAGTGATAGGAGACATCTTTCAGGATGATCTTGTATATAATTTAATAACACAGGATGAACCGTTATATTTCCGTACCGTGGTAGATGCATTTGCATTTCATCATGGGAAGCTGCTTTTGCATTCTCGAGGATGATCGAAAGACTTTTGTGAAAAAGACAACTTTTGTGACAAACGAACGGAGGCGCCTAACTTGTCCATCCTTTAATGTGCGGAAGAGGATGTAAAATCGAGAAGTAAGCAAACAGGGTTGCTCGGTTCGGGCCTATCAACAATTGATGACATCAAAGGATATGCGGTGGTTTTCATGCGACCATCAACGTGAGTTTTATCTGAATACAAAGTAAACGGCACGATATATCTATTTTGTTTATTCTTATCTAAGCCTTTTTCGTTTCTAATAACATTTTGCGCGTACCTCCTAAATCTCGCGGATCTTGCGTTTGTAATCAGCAACTAATCATCATCGACTATCGCATCTGCTTCCAGTGTGTAATCAACATCATTAATTATTGCATCTTCAATAAGATTCTTAAATGTAATATCCCATTTACGTCACCATAAACAAGTTGTTGCCTCTACAGGCCAATTGTCGTCCCTCAACTCTATTTCATTCCATGATGCATCGCCCGATATACTTTCTAACCACTTCCTAAAAGTACGACAATTTTTGTACTTTAATTGACTACCATTAAAACGGGGGTGACAAATGACAGATAGTAAAACATTTGTATCTCCATTTGATAAAC